CTTGAAAAAGTCTTGATTTCTAGAAAGACGGTTTTTATGGATCTTAAATAATATCTCTTGGGTCATTATGGAAATGATTTCAGATGGTCCATCCTGAAAGGAGTGTTTCATGAATCCAGGAAAATGATGTTTTGTTGACCATCCATAAAAGGAGTTTCTTATGCATCCTGGGAATGACGTTCCCTGGTCCATCCTGAGAATATCGTATTGAAAAGTAGTTTCTCATGGATCCTGAAAAGGTTCTCCTGAAGAGGACCCCTGTGTCTCATGGGTACAGAAAAAGATGTCACATGCTATCCCATACATAAAAGGAGTTTCTTATGTATCCTGGAAATGATGTCACATGATCCATCCTGACAAGTAGTTTCTAATGGATCCGGGAATTTATGTCACACGATCCATCCTGAGAAGAAGAGTCTCATAGATCCTGGAATGTAGTTTCTTATGGATCCTGGAAATGTGGAAATGATGTCAYGCGATCCATCTTGTAAAGTAGTTTCTATGGATCCTGGACCATCGTGAAGAGAAGCGTCTCACGGATATAGAAAATGATGTCTCATTGACCATACAAAAAAGGGGTTTCCTATGCACCCTGRAAATGATGTTCCATTGTCCATCCTAAGAAAAGGTGTCTTATTGATCCTGAAAAGTAGTTTCTCATAGATCTGCATAGATACTGACAAGGATATCCTATGCCATCCTACAGAGGGGTTTCTCATGGATACAGAAAATGATGTCTCTTGGAAAGAAGGTTTTATGGATCYTGAAAACCATTCATGGATCTTTTAAGATATTTAAAAATATCTTATGGRTCATTATAAAGTGATCTTCATGAATACTTTAAATGAATTTCTTATGGCTCTTGAAACTTCGATTCTCATGGCCATGAGAATGGAGTCTTATGGATGATAAAAGTTCTCATGGGTCTTTAAAGTGATCTTCCCTCCAATCCATTAAAATGTGAGTTTTGTGAGTTCGAAGTTGCCATGAAAATGAGTATTAAACTCATAGGTTGGGAAAATAACAGTTTTTCTTGGGTCATGAAAATGAGTTTCTGTTGGGCCGTGAAGGTGAGAGATTGTCATAATGGGCATAGAAATGATTGAGATTCTCATGAGTCTTGAAATTTTGCGTTTGAAATTTTGCGTTTGAAATTTTGCATTTGTTGATTCATTTCGATCTATCTAGTAGTGTCTATTTAACTGTGTATTATTATTTGTTTTTTCTGTTGTGTGTGTGTTTAACACATCATTTGTCAATCAGATCTATGTCAAGGATGTCTACGCTCTAGACCGTGAAGAGATGATGCGACTGTTGCCTGATTTGATACAACACAAAGACATCAATCTTGAACTTCTACTTGACTTCTGCAGGTACCTTCATTACAGATCAGCTATGTATGTATAAATTGATAAAACAATCATATTGTAGTCCAGAAATTGGACAAGCAATTCGCGAATGCACTTGGAAATTATAGATAGAAATAACAGATATTTTCAGGCTAATGCATTTCAATAGCAMAATTTTGTTCTTACATTAGCTTAGGAGAGCTTAGTGAAATCATTGTTGAGTCAAAGTGCTTTATTTCATGATACAGAAGACCCCGAAAAGTGTAATCAGACAGGYGTTTTTACTTTTTGCTCMAGGTCTTTTCATCTCATGGAAGAAGAAGCATTGCTGATGTACATCAAAATGCAACTGTTGCCACCAGTTTCTATGGACACTTGTAGTCATGGTGATGATATCACGGCMCCGGATTATGAGGTTAAGGTTAATACAGTTGCTCCTATGATTCCATCTGAAGCTTTAGTTGGACTTTTGGTCGAGGTTTGTGGAAAGGTAATAACGAGATATTGAATTGGACTTCAAGACCTCAAGCTGTCTCAGTGTCTGTTATAGTGTGTATTAATTAATATATTTTCATGAATTTTATTTTTTTGTTAGTTAGCCATGTAAGGGTCTTTTTTCGTTTTGAGTTTTATAATTGAAAGTGACACTTGCTTTTTAGATCGATGCATATGACTATGACAGGATCATGTTTGTTCTTAAACTCACCAAGGATAATGCTCCTCCTGATATTGTTTCTCTTGTGGAAAAGGTAAGTCCTTGAAACCAGTAGACAAACCAAGGCAAGTTATSGCTGTGACGTTCAAATTTCACTTTTTCACTGAAAGTTTGTCATCCATAAAGGCTTTTTTATAGCAATTTTTGGTGATCCTTTATGTTTGCTGACATCTGTTTGTCCATGGAATGCTGCCCTGGTGTCATTATTGTTTTGCTTTCGTCTTAATTGTGATCGTATATTATGACTTTTTAGGGTATTCAGCTTCTTGAGTATCTTTACATCTATGAAAGAAGARCTCCTCCTTCAAAGTATGAGAGGTCCTTTACATATTCACGAAATCCTGAAGACAACTCCAAGGTAAGAAAAATACACTTTTTTCTTGATAAATATTGAATTTGGGAACAAAAGCAAAGATAGTAGGGAATATACACTTTGTAATATTGATTTTTGATATTAATCTCTTCCCTAATCTAAAAGATGACCGTGACGACAGAAAAGCCACTGTCTGAGATGTCAAAGAAAAGGTTACCATTTCATCCCATCCTTTATGGAGATCCTTGGAAAGTTATTGGTAAGTCTTATAAATAATAATGGTCATTCTCATAGTTATAACCGATGTGGAAACAATTCATTAATAGTCTTCTTCACGGTTCCCTGTGGCATCTTGAAAGGTAGCCGTGCCTTTACATTGAAGCGAGACAGCCGTTGAGCGCGCAATGATAGGAACCTTCTTTCACACCTACAGACAATTATTCACACGTATCTATCATTGCACACTCAACGGTTGTCTCGCTTCGTGTAATGGCACGGCTACTTAAGATGACGMAGGTAACCGTGAATGAAGAAGACTATTGTCCTAAGAGTATTAATTGCTACTAAGACATTTTTTTCATTAGCTAAAAAAAAGATCCAATACAGTAGGAATCAGTCAAAAATAACTTTGGAAGTTCCATAAGAGAATTCAGTAACTTCCTTTGTTGACTTGATCCAACATCAACAGTCATCATCTTTATCGGTTTTACCACAACAATCATGTTGTTTCGGAGATCTTCATTACCTTCTGTTGTTTCTAATTAGCTGATGAATTATCTGAGGAAACTGTACCCAAGCTTATTGGAGTTGCTAAACTTTTGAAGGTAATTGGAATTATTAGTCTGAAGATCATCTTTGTACTTATCGTTTTGTGAACATTTTCATCCATGTTATATTAATCTTAATTTGCAGTTGTCGCGAGATCAGATGTATCTAACAGCCATTCAGAACCTATTCAAGTCTCCCAAATCACAGCAGRACTTTGATAGTTGTGATAATACACAGCTGAAACCAAACCTTCAAAGTGGTGATATGCTGGACAGATTTGACTTTGAGATGGCTAGAGGCTTGCTGTATGCTGTCAAGAACAAAGAGATGGCTATTGCAGCAGCAAAATGGATCTCTCARCAATTACCATTAGGTATTCATTTATCATGGCTACACGTTTTCAACCTTCATTCCCTGACGATGCTGTAGAAAGCGAAAGATCGGATTCAATTACTTACAACCTACACATACCAGACAAAGGCTTCATGAGATTCAATCCTAATGACAGGATATGATGTTCTGGGACGTTTTTTCATGAAAACTCGATATTCTGATGCTAACATCCCTTAGTTATTATATGTATCGAAAAGAATCTAATTAACGCTAAAAAAGTTGGGTATATTTTCGAACACTTTGGCAGAACTTCCATCCAGAGAGTGGTCTATAAAATGTTAACTTCTTCTGACTTCTGCAGGCGAAGAAAAGATTAAAGTTCTAGAAGCTTGTGTAGATCTAGCAAACGAATGGAAAACAAACTGCCCAGCTGATGTAAGTCATTAGATTTTGAAAGGCATGTGTTCCTTCTTTTCTTTCCTCTCTGRGTTTTCCGTCTTCTTTTYCCCTACGTTCTCTTGTACTTRYACTWTTTACCTCTCCAYYATCTGYATGTACAGTAGAACCTCATTAATMCGGCCACCAAAGGGACAYCAAGAAGTAGCCGTATTAATARGGTGACCACTTTTACAGTATGAGGGTTAAATGCGCCATGACTCCATTCGTTATAACGGAGTGGCCATATTCAGTGGGTGGCCGTAAAGCAGGGTTCCTCTACATATACTGYTCTGCCTCCTTCTGTCCCTACATCTTCTTCTCCTAAGCAATGGTAATAATGGCGTTCATTTAGTTTTTTCATTATTATAGGATGTCAATAAGGCAAACAAGTTGTACGACCGGCTCAAAGAGCTAAGCAGGGGTGTGGCTACAGAGCATGTGCTTCATAAATACAACATTGCAGAACCAGCTCTGGTTGATCTGGTAACCCAACCAGCAAAGCTGATTTGTCAGCTTTATGAAAATTATGGGGCAAGRGATATCACAACCAGGAACCAGCCCCCTGGTAAGAAAGAAGAATTACGTTGCTTGTGTATTCAGCTTCTTGATCTGGTTCATTAGTACTTATCTTTTTTTTGTATATTTCCATTTTAGATATAAATAAAGCCTCTGATCAAATTGCTGCCATCAACAATTCAAGTATAGCAAAGATACGGTTGTATTTGATTGAGGTAACTTAAATATTTAACCTTACGGAATTCGCACGAGACTTAGGACAATTCAATTCAATCTTTCGATTCAATTTATTATCACTTGTTTTAAACCATCCAAGAGTTTATTGTAAGGTAGAATAGATACGATAGAATATAGTGTCTCTATGGCCAGGCTTAACTCTGATTACATTTTTTCTAAATATAGAAATGGTTACCATCTAGACCAGTCACCGATGAATCAAGGTTGGATGCTATGAATCAGGTAGACTACATGTTTGTTAAATTGCAGTAACTCATGGTTWATCTAACTGATGGAGTTTTATGTTAGACGCAATTAGATGCAGATGAGAAGTCTGATGATGCTATTAATCTGAAAAGGTAAGATATATTAAGATCACCACTTTCATTTCCAGCTTTCATGACAATGACCTTTACTTCATTTTTTTCTCTTCCTTCATGCTCATTTTCTTTTCATTCCCATCCACTATCAATCTATTTTTCCCATTTTTCTAAACCTCTGTCTATTATCCTTCCTTTATTTGCTATGGTCTACCTTCCAAGATTTTCAAATCGCTGACTATCTGGTACCTTTTCATGTCATTGTCAAATCTTTCTTTGTCTGCAAATTTTATTTTCAGATTTTCTGTGTCGTTTTTTCACATTGACTAGGTCAACACCATACCACTTTCTTTTATTTGTATCTTCGGTCCTTCCCTTAATGTCATTATGACCATATCCATTGATATATCATTCCATTCCATTTGTCTTTTGTCTAGGGTTGTCTACATMCTTCAAGACAGTCCACCAGAACACAGTGCCATGTTCCTGCTCAACTTTGCTTATACGGTAGGAGGAATACTTACTAGCATATGTTTCCCAATGCCGTTTACAATGTTTATGATGGCACTGACTGAAGTGTAACTCAGCTACATCACTGCCTATAGTCAACCATTGAATTTCTCTATAGGAAATGTCCTCTACAAACATAAGCTGCAGATGCAGGTTGAGATCATTACAAGCATTATTTGCGATCTTCCAAGATGATGTGATTGAAGAAGTGGCCAAGAAAAACGTAGTCTCCATAAGGTCATAAGAAAAAYATGTCATTTTATGTGTCTTATGCTTCTTCTTCCRTTATCCCTTGTTATCAAGCAGTATTCAACTAGCGACTAAAATGACTTAATGTCCACGAAATAGGAGCAATTCTGTTGATTTACAATTTATGGAAGCTTCACTTGTTAGTTTCCATTCAAAATTGCATGCACAAGTTCACTGAAGTTTTAGATTAATCATTAAATGTTTGCTAGACTAACTGTCTATTATTTTATTTGTTTGTTTGTTTTTATAGGCAATACATGAAATCACTGACATACATGGCTGAGTTTGAAGCTCTTCACATTCAGCAGTCCCTGAATGCCTTCCAGAAATGCAATAAGGAGGGTTTGGTCAGAGGTCTCTGGCGCAATCATAATCATGAGAAAAGGGTGAGTTATTGAATTGTCTGACGCTCCATTCATAGCTGCCTCTGCTGTTTTGATGGAATTGTWTARTTATGCAAAGTTTCAACGTTCTCCAGAAATTCTTAATCGCTRTATTTTCAGGGTGTTCGTCTTATTGCTGACTTGTGCTTGGATAATGAGATTCACGATCCCCAGTTATGGAACAGTGTGCTGCAACAGCTACTGAGCTTTGGAATGGTAATTCCTGAAGTTCCTTAAGTGACATCTTCCATTTTTAATGCCCTTTATATATAAAGTTGCTTCCATTTTCGCCATCGTAGACAATTTATCAACTGTCAGGCTGTTTCCCCTTTGCTGATATCTTTGGGAGGATTGTCATCTCGCTTGCTATCTGGATAGATTTTTAACTGATCGAAAAGCAACTTTCAACAGCAACTTTCTGGATAGATTTTAAACTGATCGCAAAGCAACTTTCAACAGCAACTTTTTTTCAAAACTTAATAAACAAATGTTAAGATTCCTAGATGCAAGTACTAGCTAGAATGTAATTTATAACTCCATGGTCTTTTCCACAGATAAGATACCTTCGTCATGTGTTGGTTTGCCTTGCAGCAGTTTCCGATCTTTGGCTGGTAAGTTTGATGACAACTTTCTTGAAACATCTTCAGAATAAAAATATACGATATATTTACATGTTTGAAAGTTTGGCCTGTTGTTTTTGATTCCTTCTAAACATTGTGTTTTATTTCTAGATACCCTGTCTACCTAAAGTCTGGAGGAGTGTGATCCTAGCTCCCTTTAAAAATGGTAGGCTGAAT